ATTTTGCAACAGTTTTATCTACACGTTATGATTCCTCATCGAATATTACAGGAAAAATATGACGAAATCGTTTCTCCAACATCGTCAACATATCACAGAATTCAGGGTAACGACAATGAGTATTTGCAAATTTATAAGAACTGTTTGATTTCTCTCTACAAAACCTGTCATGACTGAAATGCAGTGACCAGGTAATCTTTTTTTCCTCAAACAATTGTAAAATTATTCGTTTTACATATATAATGAGAATCGATTATTATTTTTAAAATAATAGACGAATATAAAGCAAGTGGTGTTAAAACGGCAAACGTCAAAATAGTTGTACACTTAATAAAGGGCACACACGGATACAATGTTATCGTACAAAACAATGGAGCGAGGAAACCGATTTATCAGCGTAACACAACAGTTTCAACAATTAGGTGGAGAGGGCGTGATAGAATTCATAATAATATCGGATTTCGCGCCTATTGCGCTATTTTACAACACATTTATTCCGTCATTATAAGGCTGACTAATTTAGTACGAATTCAAGGGTTTCGTTCAGAATTGAATCTTGAAAATAGTTGTCGAGATATATCACATCGTCAAAGTACCCAAACAATTTATTGCCCGAAGAGGTAGGTGTTTTTGGTTATAGGTACTTTAAAATTTTTCAAATTTAGGTCTCAGCAATTTCGTCATTTTATTTAGTTCAGATTAATATTAAGTGTAATATCAGTCGCTTCGAATACAATTATTACTTTTTATTCCATTAAAGTCACATATAGAAAGATGGATGGTTTAAGTTTCTAGCGTCAAAACACAATTTAGCCTTGCATTGCGGTACGATAAACAACTGAAATATTGCATGTAAATAAACCAATCACGATACACGGGAGCGGGGAAACGAGAAATTTGTTGAAACACGAGTTAATGGGCCCAGAACAAACCGCAGAGTGCAAATCGAATCACGTACATGCGGCTCTCGGCACTGGAGTTCTATTTAAAAAAAATGAACATCCCAGATGTTCCCACGTTCATCGTTCCGGTTAAAATGTGAATAGCGTAACAGATAATTAGTGAGAAGCAACGTCTTATATTTTGCTATAAAGAGGAATAGAAGTTGTGACAATCTACCATCGGTCGTATTTAACATGAACATTTATATGAAACTAAAAATCGAGACCTACACATCAAATTTTATAACTAGTTATAAGAGTTCGTTGGAGCAAATATGTCTGCTTGTAAGATTCGGATAAGACGACATCAATAAGCAACTCGGTAGACAAATAACTAATACAGTTATTGATGTTAGTTATATATATATTAATATTTAATGATGTAGATTGTTCTTTTGGATCAATAATTGACCAAAAACACAAAATTAAATTAGATAATGACATTTGTGTAAATAAATAATCATCTTGCGTCCATCTATACCTGTAGGAGGAAACGAGGCTATACATATAATCTGGATTGAAAAAGTTTATATTAAGAGACCGCAGACGGTCGTTCCCAGCACTAGAACATAATTGCTTTCGTTTCACGACGAGTTACGTCATTCCAAACGGAGTTTGAGTCGCGTAACTTTAGTTTAAAACAGTATGCGACCCGTGCAATGGCGTTATACTAATGGCCTTCAAGATGTTACATGCAATTCATTTGCTAGTAGCGCCCAAAAACCGCCTTAACGCTTTAACAGATTACACGACACCCACGTGTTGGATTAATCAATTTAACACTTTTGCTTACCTACTTGAGTTTAGTAAAGACCCTGGTTTTTAGAACACAATTCTGATGTTATTTTCGATGTTCATTCTAGTTATAGCGTTTTACCTGTTCTTAAGCACAGTTATCCCAAGCGACGGAATATTATTTTAGTTTCGGTTTCAGTGCTTATGAATGTACATTGAAATACTTCAGATCATGAATGAATCATCACCATTTTGACCAGTGTGAAATATCGGAACAAGGGTCGTGCCTTGGGCAAGGCATGTGTCCATCAGTGACAAACTGCAGTTTGGTGATGAAGATTGACAATGTGGACAACTAGTTAGATATTGCATGTGCCGTGCGCGCACGCTAATGGCGAACCGCTCTATATAATTAAACACCTCGACTGGCGGCGCGGTGAATTTACGACGAATGTTCAAAACATTACCGCCGTTTGTAGCTTGCACACCCCACTAATACATCCTCGCAGCTGCCCGCCGCGACGGCTAAATCCTCGCCGAGCTGACACCTCGGAAATATTAAAACCGTGCATTATTTTGATTAACTCTCAAAGTCATTCTGAAATGCCATCCGCTCCGAATCGAATACTTTAATCCTTATATGGTACATACAAATAATTTGAACTTATAACAATACCAATACTAATACAATAGGTTTAAAACTTAGAATATTTAGCGGAATAACATTCTTCATAAAAATTACTTCATACAGGCCGGGCGGATGACTGAAGTGACAAACGATGCGTTGAATCAAACGATTCAATGCGTTCAATTATATCGTGTTTATCACCGATAACCTCGATTCAATGCGTTCAATTATATCGTGTTTATCACCAATTTAATGACGTTTCATAATTATCGAAGAGATAAATTTAATCATTACTTCAATGCAAACATTTAAATTTATCGAATCAAAAAAAATTGCGATTAAAATATTAATTTATTTATTCAAGTTGTGCTATTTCTTGTACTCAAGACTCTTCGAAATAAACAAGCGCTTAGCGAGAACAATAGCTTTTAAATACTTTTTGGGCCACTGCAGCATTCTCTGCACGTGTGAGGCGTATGTAATGAGCTTCTGTGGTTTTTTCCGCAGCGCTCACCTATACTAGGTACATACAATTCCAGGATTGTACGAAATCGTCTGCATCGGAAAATAAGACAACATTATTGTGAGTTGTTTGTTTTCAAATCGATTACTTTGACGATGACAGTTTGCTGATTAGACTTACAAACGAATTACAAATTTTTGATATTTTATATCTTTTTTTATGACTTATCTTTTCTTATCGCTCGCATAAGAAATATCCGAAGACCTGCGAAATCATTGTGTGTAAATATCATGACGCTGTAGGTATATTTATGGTTCCCTTGACATGTCGCTGACCTCGACGAAGCCTCAATTTAAGCCTAGTCATTATAAAATACCATTAGACAGGCGCATCCATAATTCTTGTTAATTATGCTTGGCTATACACCTCATTTATTCTCCACCTCTGTGCATCAATATAAAAATTTCAACATCGATAACTGAAAAAATAGTTTATAGAATGCGTACTAAACAGTTGAGTCTCAGTTCTTTAAATTAATATTTCATTTTACGACTATTTGCCTTTATTAAACATTGAATAAAAACTTTACTGCTTCTTCGTAATTACCGTATGTTTAAGTAAAAAATGGGAATAACAGAACTAGTACTAAATCCTTACCTCATTTTATACTATAGTTCTTTATGCTTATTACACTCAATATTTTACTAACTGTTGCATGTTATGTAATTCTTGTCTTACTCTAAATAACGAGTCCTATTTTCTATAGGGTTTCAGAAAATGATTTGAGGTTGTCTATTTACCATCGCATACCTCATTCAAAAGCATCAATACATTTAACCATGAGATATCTTTATTAATAATTTTAGAATATTATAATTTTTTTATCGTGCATATTATCTTCCCAAGTTTTAATTAAAGCTACTTTTCTCTTATTGTTCTTAAATGAACGATCTGTAAATCACGCATTTCTCATTAGATTTTGTAACTGTTATTTCGGAGAACGAACTAAATTAACATTTACATAATCGAAATTTAACGAAACATCCGTTTAATATGTAGGTATATTAATATTTATAAAGTTTAACAAAGTGGACTAACGATTTAGTGAAATCAATTCAATTATAAGTCGGTCGATGTATAGATAATGGTGACATTTTTCATGTAATGGATAAGGAATCGATATCAAGCACTGTTTATATCTCATTCTCATTAGTCACAACGAAATGTGATAGATTTCAACATGAAAACAAATTGTACAAACGTACAAAAATAAGACTGGTTGTCGGAAAAAGAAAGATCTTCCTTGATGCCACCACCACCGGTCACGAAATAGGATAGGATTGTTAAAATTATCGGGACTTCGTGAAACTTCTTGAACAGCTTAGAATTCATAAGTACAGCTGTATATAAATAGTTTCAAAGCTAATATTAAATTCAGTTGCACTCATTTGTAAAGAAACAGAGGTTAACCTGTTTTAACCTCGCACGTTTTATAAAATGACAATGACGTTATCATTTATGTATTTTCAAATCAAAGATATCATATTTATTAATCTTATCTAGGTATCTGCGATAAACGACGAATTAATATTTGTCACTTATCACTTAATAGCCATTGCAAAATACGTTACAAATATAGCTTTAATTCAATGGCTGAGCTCACAACGGACCTTTACTTTCGAGTCACGTATTAAAAAATTATCGATGAGAAATAGGTACAGCATATTGATACTTAACATACATCACATATGTATGAAGATCGCTTATACAATAGCTGTATAGGATGTTCAAGGAACTGGCAAACTTGATTTTTCTACAATTGATGTAAACATTTTAAATAGAGAGCATTGAAAGAAAAAGGTTAAAAGTTTGTAAATACATTTTTTTTTATTTGAAGAAAGAAATACATCACACAAATCACACTCGACTGAAAACAAACACGGTAGAAGAAGAAAAAAAACAACTCGAGTGCCAAGTGCAAGGAGTCAACGAACCGCTCGACAGGAGAGCAAACAGCATAGGAATAAATCATGTTGCCAAGAAAATAATCCCCCCAACTGGCCGAACACCGTGAGGACTGGACAAGTGACATTCCGAATGCATCCGATCGCATCACCATTCGCGAAGCGTATTTATGCATGAGCACCGACCTTGAAAGTGGACTCGAATTGGCTTCCGTACCGCTGGGGGAGCGACGCTAATCCAGGGCGCCGCCAATGACGCGTGTTTTTCAACGGCACATGTCACTGACAATCCACAGGTAAGAATCGAAAGCTCGAGCGGTGCGCGCGTTGTGAGCGCACGTGCGGCCGCTGCGACGCGCAGAGTACGACTGAGGAGGACAGAGGCGGCGGGACCCTCTCGGTTCGGAGGTCGGAGGCGATTGGAGGACGGACCAAGCGAAACGGGATGCGGCGGCAGCGGCGAGATGCGCGCATAGCTCCCCGTCTTCCGTTCGACGCTTTCGATATCGCACCGCGGTGGAGAACTTGAGACGCTCGCCCACCGACGCAGGGGCCCGCCTAAAATAATTATAGTCGCATAAAATATTAATGCCATGTAAGAAAAGTTCGCAAGCGAATTTCGCGAGCGAATCATCACAGAGGATCACCGGGGGTAAACAGGCATTATGGGGGTAAACCGATACAATCTATGCCAATACAATATATGTATAAAATTATAAATAGGATTCGTGATGTGATTGGATCTGAAACTAAATATTTCGTAAGCAAAATTTAAGCCTTGTGGCTCGTTTGAAATGCAAAACCTGACAGATGCGGTTGCTTTATAAATCTTATTATTATAAACTGTTAATGTAAAAATGTTTTGAGACGGAAAAATTAACCCAAATTAGAGATTTTACACCTGTTCGAAACAGAGCCAGGTCAGCTATCCATATTTGTGTAACTTGCTATTATCATCTTCATGAATAACCATGCACTAATGTAAATTTGGTAGCATTTTAAACGATATAAGTGAAATAAATTAAAAGAACGAACATCAAATCAATTTCGTAAGGAAACAACATAAACTTAATATTACGCTTTTTAATTAATTAACTTATAATTTAATTAATAAAGTGTTTATTTAATAATGAATCTTACGTACATTATACATACGAGAATAAAAGATAAATAAGTTGCACTATTTCTGACTAAGATGTAAAATAAAGCATCGATGTTATTGTAATTGATTCTGCTAACGCATAAGCCCAAGTTTAATTACATCTAACTAAGAATAATACTCTATACAGCTGCGTTCTACTGAATAACAAGACTGTCATTTGCATCAGACTCACTTCATGTTTTGGTTGATATAGAATATTGCTCTAAACACTCGTATGTGTTCCACTTTAAATTATTAAACAAATGAAAGGTTCTGTCATGTGATTTTTTTTTTGTTAAAAACTGTTTTAGAATACCTTGACATAATTATCAAAAACTAAGCCTGTTGTAAATTTAATTCGAAATCTAGGCAACAAATATAATTATCTTTTTAACGTGTGTCATTGATTTTTCGACATATTGTTGTTAACCTGTACCGGTGCTGTGCTTATTCAATTTGTACAAAGATCTAAATAAAAGGTATAACTCAGATCAGATTAGTAAGTGAAAAAGATATTGTTGTTGGCATCATGAAAATAAAAATCAATTTAAAGGTATTTGACAATCATCGAAAAGACCGTTATCACCATTAAAATAGATAAAAGTTTAACTTTAGATAAGTTGGAAATAAATGAACTCGCAAAATGGACACTGTTATTCTTTTAAAAATAAGAAATGATCAAAATAAATAGATATTTTTCATCTCCAACACAGTAAAACTAATGTACACAACATTTCGATTTTTTTTTTTTTTTTTTGGGCTGGATGAGCCACTGTTGGCCTTAGGGGCCTTTACAGATCCGACGGACTTGAGGTGGCCTGGCGCACGAGGCGCCTAGCCTGAACCTCGGCGTACTGTTATTACGCGTTATGGTGACTAAGCTCGAGGGCTCCCGGGGGAGCCTCGGCTCGGGCCGTCACGCTATTATTGTTACCGGTTTGGGAGGCCGCCAAGCTCTTAGGGCGCTTTGGCGGGCGCTCCATGGAGTGATCAGGCTCAAGGGTCCCCGAGAGGGGACCTCGGCTTGGGCTGTCACTCAGCACGCGTTTAGCATTCCGATTCGAGGGTGCCCGAGAGGGCCGGACCTCGGCTCGATCGATAGCTATTATCTGACTGGACTCGATCGGTATCTATTATCTGACTGGGACATTTCGACTACACTTTCTCTTCCTATAACAAGCGTTAAGCTTTTCATGTTAACTATATCACTTTGAATGTCATTAAGTAACATTATCATTGTAGTAACTTCCCTTAGTAACGCAATTAGTTTGGATAATTTATTATACGTTTAATCGATGCGAAGCTTAAACTAATGGATAGTATTAAATGATCATTATTCAGTCCATTAGCCTATGAATAAATTTCATTCAGTTGAGTGATAGTTTTGATAATTTAATAATTATGTACATATGTTATTAGGAAAACCTTTCATAAATAAAATGGTTTGTGTCTTCTGTACATTACAATTTCTTATACAATTTTTGGTAGTTCATTGTCGTAGATGTTGAAACCTCGATCGCTAATCTTGAATCAAATCTTCGTGGTGTAGATCAAATAGATATATTTTCTTGAAATTGCTTACATAAAAAAAAACAACACTAATAAGAAGTCCATCAATTTTGTTAATCGATAATCCGATCCGCCGTCGAAGGTTTTAATAAATTTTAAATACAAAACCTGGTGGATGGTTACGATTCCGTTGCGCACTAGCGATACATTTCCTTCCCTTTATAAGTGGGAATACACTCGGTAAAAGAGTTTCTCTTTTCACACTAACTACGGGCTTTAGTTCGTAATAATAAACTGACGGACGTAAATCATACGTAGGGTCATATGAGGAAATATTTAACGAGGTGATAACGAACCAATTTGTTCCAACAATGACTACAAATATTTTAAAGGTGTTTTAATTTTTTAACGCTTATCTAGAGCTATTAAATTTACGTCTACTAACAGTTAAGTTTATGCTTTTTAAATGACTTCTGCTTTTTAATGACGTCTATGCACGTCGCTAAGTATCTAATTGTTAATTATTTTATTTTTCAAGTACTTGCATAACTAACTGATAAACGACGACAAATAAATATTAAATTACAACCTGTATAATTTGTATTTTTTATGTGAGAAGGTGCCACATGAGCTGGCGGTTCTCTTTAGCGACTGTTCAAGTGATACCAATTTTATAACGTGGCTACCACATTCACAAAACGAAAGGCAGAAGTATAACATTTCCACTAAAAGGTGGTCTTAACTATTAAAGTAGTGTTTTATTGGCATTGGTCATAAATTAAAACTAGAAAAACTTAAACTATGAGAGTACGACATTAAAGATGATGTATTGATAAAACAAACTTATTCAATCAACTAATCTGAAAGTCTCGTCGTCTACTAATTTCAAGTATTGAAAGAAAACGTTTCTACGTCTAAACATTATCAAAAACAAAGTATACTTGATAATAAACAACGAATGTACGTTATCGAGGGCCGCACCGGTGTCTATCACCATAACGCGTAACCGACGTTCAGGGTAGGCGCCCCAAGCGCCCGGCGGATCTGTAAAGACCCCTAAGGCCAACAGTGTTATATCCAGCCAAAAAAGACGAACGCTCAAGCATAACTAGAGCCAAAAAAGCGAGTAACGCGAGCCGCTGCAACCCATTCGAATGACAAACGTCTGCTTCGTCGTTCCCTCCAGAAAATGAAACCGCACCGGTGTCTATCACCATAACGCGTAACCGAGGTTCAGGCTAGGCGCCCCAAGCGCCCGGCGGATCTGTAAAGACCCCTAAGGCCAACAGTGGCATATCCAGCCAAAAAAGACGAACGCTCTGACATAACTAGAGACAAAAAAGCTAGTAACGCGAGCCGCTGCAACCCATTCGAATGACAAACGTCTGCTTCGTCGTTCCCTCCCGAAAGTGAAACCAAAACCGAATCCCGAACGGGGTGCAACAATGCAATTACAGTGGAGCGTGCGCGGTGTTCCGTTATCAAGTGCCCAGCTCCCCTTATCTCCGCCCGTCCGAACATCTAACTGTTGCGATACAGTTTGCAACGATCACGACAGACTGCACCGTGTCATTGATTTCGTTTAAGGCAAACATGGACGGCTTACCAAACGTCCATTTCGGTTAATAATGGGGTCTAAATTATTAAATTTACTTATATTTACGAGTATATCCGTTGAAAAGACCGATAATAAAAGATATTCTTCATTTTCAAATAAGGTCATAGAATTTTTGTTAAATATATTCATATCTTTGTAGAGTGATGATTGCTTCATATACAAAATACGTATAGGTAGTATAAATTTTACTATAAATTTTATTTCTGAGGTTTAGTTGCTATTAAAATAATTACAATTATTATCATATTACATAATATCGTTGTGACTAATTTATTACCGAGTATGATATAAAATAAGACATTTCTGTTTATGACTTATTGAAGACCCTTGCATCGAATAAATTGAATTAGGGCTTGTAAACAAAATGATTTTTGTCGAATTTATGATACGAATCATTTTGCAAACTTGATTTTGGTATTTCAATTTGAAAATTCTAAATTCAAAGTTTCGTTGTAGCCAAACACATTTTGATTTAACTTTTTACATTTACTTAACACGGCGCGACATCTAAACCAGTTCCAGACTGACAATGGAACTAACTTTCAGCTTTAGTTGAGTCAATGTAACAAGAACACAGCCAGACGTCAAATGAAAAGTTAAAGAATGTATTTTCATATACATTACTCGTTTCGAAAAAGTATATACACAGTTATCGATTATACACACTTTATAAAAGCACTTAAATCGGTAACATAAAAATGTGATTAATATGGTATAAATTTGATCAAGTAATAACATATTATTATTTTTTTTTGTATTGTATGTATATTCCAATTTGTGACGTTAAAATTGAAAGTGAAAATCGTGACGTCAATAAATGGTCCCATTTTTATAACAAAGAACAAAAACTTTGATTGATTCGGCCCGTTCAATCCTCGAGCAGAGATTGTTTGAAGATTGTTTTCGTATTTCAATTGTAACGAATCAAACAGAATCTTTATTCGTGTTACCATTTGTTTTTGTTTTGTTTTTTAAACTTTATTATAATATATTTTCCCACTACAAGTGTCCATGACAACTTACTGGGAAAACTCGGCAAGAAATTGTAGTAAAGATTATGCAAGTAAATGAATTCTCGTTTTATTTTTATTTTTGTTTTAAAGTTTTATTTATGCAAGTCCAGGTTAAGTACTCATATAGGATCCAATACCTTAAAACATTGATTACTAACAGGAGGGGCAAAAATAATAAATATTGTTATCATGAATTATGAGGTCAAAACCTCAATAGTAGTACTAACCTAAGTATTACAGGAAATGTTAAGTAACAATTATTTGTTAAAACGAATATAAAAAGTATCACAAGATCCGGAGCAATTATCTGTGGGTTACACAAGTACTTGTCCCGTGTGGGAATTTTGCGAATACGTTGCCACCTTTAAATAAAGTGGGCCCCGGCTACCTAACTCACCAGGTGAAACGCAGATCTCAGTAAGTTAATTATTTAAAAGATTTTAATAGATCGTGGTAATTACCCGGACGGATCTGCCCATTCGTGCAACAGTGAAAACTGTTGCGTGGCCCTACTACACTGCAATGTGGACATTAGACACAAAATTTTAAATCAAAATCATTTTCCGACGCTCGCGCATCAGCTGTTTAGCGACGATAAAGTCCACTACATTGGTTACTTCCGATTGCATAGGCTGCATTGTGTAGATATGTTATCGCAGGGTCACAATGTACTGGGTTCATTATCATCTGTTATTTACACAATTTTTAGCGATTGTTGGCTTAGGTCGTTGTACGATAGACACTGTTGAACATTTTTTCTCATCCTTCGTGTTAATAAATATCGTCAAATATTAAGAATATAAGAAGAAGATTAAGCCGCTTCGATGCCAACTCATTTATCTTAACTTGATCTATATCAATGCCAGTAAACTTTAGTTCTATTAAAGTGAATGAAACAATTGTTACAGACTTAATGTCCATAATTATACAAATTTGTTACTTTAATGATATTAATAAATATTGATTGTAACGAATGCATCGAACCAGTAAAGAAATTTATTAAAATACTTTTATTACACACTCTATACTTTTATTTCATTACTTTAATGAATATATAA